GCAATCAATCAGTGTCTCTCTTTCTCTCTCTCTCTCTCTCACTCTTGTTCTTCTTTTATCGTTTAAAACAGATAGACGTAGCTCGCGAGGTGTCGTAAAGTTCGACAGTAATTAACCCGACGTTTCTCTGGTATCGATACTAGACGTGCCAGTAAAAAGGAAAATGATCCAAAGCAACGGACTGTTCTATTTGCTGAACAGAACCTCATTTCCGTCTTTCTCTTTCTCGAGCTTTTATTGTGTCCTACCATTCTCGACTATAAGATAAAATCACGATGATCGATTAGCAAAAGACTCTTACCACGTTTCTCTTTAAAGTTTTATTTTATTTTTATTATCCACCATTTAATTTAACATCAAATTTAAATCGTGATTATTAGATCTTGTTTGTTTCATCATGTTTACATCACGTTTAACACTTCTTCTCATTGTTTTTTTATTAGATTTTTTTTACGAATTATTAAAAATCAAATTATTATATATTACGTTAAATAGTTATTTTTTCTTTTTGAGGTTATGATGCCGACATTTTGATATAATCTGACCGACATCTTGTTTTTTTCTCAACTATTTGTCGTCAATATAGATTTTTTAATATTATTCTCCCTTTTGTATTTGAACACGTTGAATGTCAAGCAAATTTATAATCCCCGTCAAGTCACGCGCATTACTTAGTATTAAAAACACGGTTGAGTGTCAGTCACCGGTGGGTGACGCGGCCTAAACGGAAAGTTCAGTTGACTGACGTTGCACACTCAACGTGTGTTAATTGACATGTTTACTTGAAAAATCAAAATTAATATTCTTTTCGTTTTTACCAACCCATATATGAATCTTAAAGTATGTCATTGCAAATGGGTTTTAAATTTATTAACTATAAATAATTTTCTATAAACTTATACATATATATATATATATATATGTATTATAAAAATATTGATATTATTTTCGGATTAATTGTACGTATTATTAGGTTTAATGTATTGACTTTTTACCCTAAATTCTAACAATTAGATGTATATATTCTATTATACTTACCTGTGTATATAACTGTATATGTGTATGTGTGTATACTTTTAGTATAAGTCAAGAGGCTTGAGACTCCTTAGTAATGCTTGTCCCTTTACTAACTATTATATATATATATATGTAAGGTTTCATAACATACACGCGCACTACGTATGCTTACGTAAACTTACGAGAATTACAAACTAGCTCAAGTACTTGCATGAAATTAACATGTATAAATTAACGAACGCAAGTACTTATATACTCCTCATACGAAGAGACATAGTTTACATGTGATAATTTAATACGAATACTTGCATAGTATTCTATACCACGCATAAATCAAAATCTTAGTATTCCTTTTCGGAAAATCGATTAGTTTTTATACTAGAGTTATCCATTTTTTGGTTTTGTTTTTCTCAATTTATCATTTAATTTCATTAGGATTTGTCATTTTACGAGCTGTTGTTTCTTTTATTTTTTGTTTTTGTTTTAATTCACACACAACTTTGCATACGAATAGTATTCTCTTTTTTTTTTAGGTTATGATAAAGATGATGTAAAGTATAACGAGACCGACATCTTGTTTTATGTCAGCCATTTGTAAATTATTCGAGTGAACGTTTTTAATTACAACTGACGAATGTTGAAAGACTTTAAAAAATAAACGTAAGCGCGTTATTTTTCTGTAAAGGTAAAAATGTGACACTTTTATTATAATAAAAAAATATTTTATACAGTTTTCTTCATAAATTATATAATAGGAATAGTATGTTTTTGTTTGTTGAAAATAACGTATGTGATAGTTTTAAGATTAGCAAGGAAATTTCTAAAACTCTTTTTAATTATATGCTGATCGATAAATAATAAATTATTAACACGATTTAAAATCAATAAATATTAACATAATTTACGTGAATATTTTTCACACGTGTATGTGTGTATTTGTAGGTATAAGTTAGATAAATCTATCAAATACGAATCTACGATAGAAAAGTTTGCTTTTTTGTTTTGTTTGATCGTTCGGAGAGAAACATCTGTGGGGGTTTTAAAAGCGTGAGCATGCAAAATTCTAAAGCTTTAGCTATTTTCCTCGATGTTGATCGATAAACAATAGATTTGAGAATATATATATATATAGATAGATAGTATAGAGAAATATTTGATAGATACGAAAGTAGGAATATCGTAAGAGAGAATAGCTCAGCATTTCCTAAATCGATAATACGAAGGACATTTTTCAGCATCCTGAAAGTCTATGGGAAGTCATTTCTCCTATAGAACGTGCATTCAAAATTCACAAGGGGTAGAACCACATACACACACACACAGACACCAATAAAGAAAAATAAAGTATAGAAAAATATCAAGATAAAAATAAAATGTATCTAACGTTGTTCATTTAGGTCATTTGATACAAAGAAATCACCTATTTCGATATTCCCTATCCCCATGTTTTTTATTTATACATCGATTTAGTTCGATTATGGTG